GGGTCGGACCCCTCGCAAAATCGTATCACTTATCGAACAATGGCCGCGGTACTCGGACGTGTGATTGTGTACGGGGGCAAGGGTGCCCTCGGCTCGGCTTGCGTATCGCAATTCAAATCGCAAAATTGGGTGAGTAAGCGGGACTCATGAGTGCCGTTACCCTCGCGCCCGACGCGTAATCCAGATCCGATTAATCGCACGGCCGTCTTATCGGCAGATCTTGCCAATACATCGCACAAAATTTAATTAGAGTTTTCTGCCGGTGTTATTCTATTCAGTAATTTTATAAACATGTGAAAAAACACGTATTAATATGTACGTACAATGAAAAAATTATATAAATATATTAAATAATTAAAATGTTAAAAAATGTAATTTATAATGTCCAAGTCGGAGTTTTTATCACCCGATTTATCGGTGACTTTTGCCCGATCACATTCCGCAAATCGTACATCGTATTTTCGTCCGTTTCAATTTTTTTTGGTGAAATTTGTCGCGATAAAATAAGAACCATTTTTCCGCGGTATTCGTTTGACATGGTATTTATTTAGGCCCATGTCAAACGGCGCATGGGAGTGCCATATGATTCGATCGAAGTGACAGTTAACTGTTTCCTCTTCAATTTTCCCGGTTCCATTAAGTCCACGGCGATCTTAAATATTTCGTGGAGTAATTTCAGATTATATGCGATAATATGCGATAGCCCTTGGTCAATTTTATTATTTATTTAATTTTTGTGCATTATAATTGCATAAATAAAATATTACATGTGACTATATTAATGTAATAATAAGTAAAAATATTGCAAAATGCGATTACACAATTAAAAGATTTTGGAATTTAATCGAAATCGATATTTCTTCATGAGATTGTCTTTATTTGTATATGTAGACATATATACAGACGTCTGAAATTGCATAAAAACTATGTATGTGTACCAAGGTTACTGGTAGTCAGGCAAGTCCTTTCACAGAGCCTTCTAGAAGTGATTATTATCTCTACTGTAACATTTAGATAAATCACATATATAAAGTTAGCTAAATCATATGTATTATGCTAAAAAACATAAATATACCTATATTCTAATTATCTTATAAACACAAATGTTATTTATATTATTGCTTGTGCATAAAATTATTAAATATTTTTATAATATTGTTAATTTGTTATTAAGTATGTATATATTATATTTAGTTTATAATTATAAATTTTTATTTTGGTTTAGTAGATGCATTGTATTATAATTTTTAGTGGGTTGGCTCTATTGATATGAAGCCAAATGAACAAGCAGATGCAAATGTGATTGTAAATCCTGACGGCGACTGGCAGCAGCAGGTAATTTTTCGTCGTTTACATTTTTATCATGAATATTCAAGCGGTAGATGTTAATTAACTTCTTGCAGCAAACTGAGATCTTGGCTCAAGTTAAAGATACATTGAAAGACGAAAAAGTTGATGGCATTATCTGCGTGGCCGGGGGATGGGCCGGTGGTAATGCGGCGCATAAAGATTTCGTGAAAAACAGCGATTTAATGTGGAAACAAAGCGTTTGGAGTTCCGTCATAGCTGCCAGTATCGCGGCTAAATACTTGAAGCAAGGAGGATTTCTTTCTTTGACTGGTGCTAAGCCGGCGCTAGGCGAAACACCAGGTTTCTTTCATGGATAATGATATAAATATGCATCATATAACTTTTCGTAATTGCTAAAAGGCCGATTCTACTCGATTAGGGATGATCGGCTATGGTATGGCAAAGGCAGCTGTTCATCAGTTAACAAAATCTTTGGCGGCTAAAGATAGTGGTCTTCCTTCCAATAGTTTGGTTGCTTGCATCCTACCGGTTACTTTAGACACGCCAATGAACAGGAAATGGATGCCTAAAGCTGATACAAGCACTTGGACTCCACTCGAGTTTGTGTCAAAGTAAGATGAAATGTTATTTACATATTAAATTAATATCTTGTGATTTATATTATTAAAAATATATACTTATCTCTTTCCATAGCTTGTTCTGGAAATGGTCTCAAAATCAAGATCGGCCTACTAATGGTACTCTTCTGCAACTAATTACTAAGGACAATAAAACGGAGCTGATCGCAGCTTAAAGATATCAAGTGAATAAAATTCATGGGAACAAAAGTCTTGGAGCATTTATGACAATACGATAATACATATATCTTGTTTATTGTTACATGGAGTGGAGAGATATGTTCATGAGACGGCAAGTCCTCCAAAGTGATTGAAAGTTCTTATTTTTGTATCAAGAACCGATATAGTTTTTTTATGTGTTTTTAAACGTCCATTCCAACACTATATTTTTGTATGTTATTGTATACACAAGTCGTTTACTTACTTACAAGGAGAGGATACTTTTTATGCATGTGTATACACATGTATTGACATATTTGTTTTTGTTGTGAATGTAGAACACATATACATATACTATATTGAATGTTGCAAAAACAAAACGAAAAAAAAAGATCACTTAAAGCATCACGAATTGTCCCTTTCGTGTCGATTTCTTGTCCTCTTTAAGCTTCACAAGTCCAGTCAAATAGTTAAGTTTTTCCTTTATAGTCCATGAAATTTCATTTTTTTTTTTTTAAGTAAATTTTAATGTTTTAAGTCGGATTACAGCATTGTTACCGAAATATTTGATATTAAATATTAAAAACTATCGCAGTCATACGTAAATTATCTTAAAAAAAGATTTTATAATTTACCGTTAACTTTTGAATAATGAAATTATATCTCTATTAAGAAAAAATTTGTTAAGTTATTTTTATATTAGGATAAATTATACGTGTCCATAGTAACTAACACATTTAAAGAAGGTTAGATATCAGCCCGGATAGCTCAGTCGGTAGAGCATCAGACTTTTAATCTGAGGGTCCAGGGTTCGAGTCCCTGTTCGGGCGTTTTTTTTTTTTTTTTTTTTTATTACTCGAGACGGATCGACATTTTGTAGTAAAATGTAAATTCAGTATTTTAAGTGCAATATATTTAATAGCATATTTACTGTAATATAGTCACTATAAAACCGCTAATATTTCTTATACATGTTGCAAATAATTATACATAATTCATTTTATATTTTTACAGATCTTTATTATTTTTGTACAATGTAGAATTTATTATCTCTGACTGTGACAATGATGTTGGAGCAGCACGTCGACTAGTTCTATAGATACATATAAATCAATTAGTATTTTGTGATATATATATACTATAACATCAAACAAATTATGCTTATTTTGCTTTGGGTAAGAAAAACTCGTCAAGCATTTTTTGTTCCGCTGAAAAGAAAAAAAGAAAGGTTCATATTTATGATATGTTATCAACTTACATTATAATTACACATTTATATAATATATATATATTTTTTTATACAGTCTCTAGAACTTTGGATGTTCCTTTAATCACACACTTTTTGGCCAATAAACAAGTACCTTAGCAAAGTTTTGTGCAAAGCATTTTATTTTTAATCGTGATTCAAAGAATGGTAGAAAAAGACCCTATCAGGTCGATAAAAAAGAACTGATTAAGAAGATATTTGACAGTTTGATAGAATATTTTCTATACAATAACACGACATATAATATTATAAAATAAGAGATCTTCGAGCGATATTTGTTTCTACATTTATATTTACAGTCAAGTGTTTTACCTATTAAAGCAAGTCTCTTCTCCTCGGCTAGCTTGGCATCACGTGCAGGTTTAAGTCTCAGTTCCTCTGCTCTGCGAGCATCCTCTTTCCTCTTGAATCTTCTATGATGGTATGCGCCGTAAGCGATTCCAGTAAGGAGTAGACTCCAGCGGCAAAACTATATAAACAGATGCGTTTAATTACAAACAGAAATTGTTTATTCTATATATGCCGATAAAAACAAACACTGACACATTAACTGGTGTTATAAGCGTCACTCCTGGAACAAGTTAAAACAGCGAAATCTAATTCTAAATTTAGATAATAGACGGTCATCAATTACTAATCGAATTTCGAACTGCATCGAAAATGATCGAATTTATTTCATGCGGAGCAAAACACTCAAGTTTTTTCAAGGTTAGAAAATCGAAAGACGACGTTAAGAAATCTTTCATTGAAAATTGAAAAATAACACAAATTGCCGTGACAACGAAAAAACCACCAGTTATATCTTTTAATATATATATTTGTTAATTTCCGAATATACCTTTACGAAACGGTAGAAAAATTATGTAATAAAATAAATTCGATCGCGACGAGAGACGGTGAGAATTCAGTCGGATAGGTCGGAAAGAACAGCGTTTAATAACAGCGTGAAATAAAACGTATAAGGAAGATACGTAGGAAAACATACGATGATGGAATATTTCGAGAGAAGCTGCTCCTTTTACCTTGATAAAAGGAGAAATCCGCAAGGGTCTCGGATTCAGCTCGGTGGTCGACATCTTGCTCGAGTCGTCGAGGATAAGGACATCGTATATCGTATCTCGCGAGTGCGCGTGTCATCAGTGTCATGAGTTTGCTCCGTGCGCGATAAAAAGCGCGCGAAATTCGAGAACGTCGTTTTGCTCGACAAAACAACATTCATACGCACAGGTGTACACTTTGACTGTCAAAAAACTGTTTCTTTTAGTGCCCGACTACAAAAGGTGTTTTAAGCCCTAAGCCCTAAGAAATTGACCAATCACAGTCAATTATTCTTCTCAAATTCAATTGTGATTGAACAATTTCTTGCATCGTTCTATCTTTGTCGCTCATCAGGTGTAAAACAAGGATAGAATAAACAAATAGCGCTGATAGCGCGCTCCCCGAATCCAGCCTATAGACATTACAATAAAGCACGTGCCGTTTTTTTTTCGACTATTATATATTTTTATAATAACATGTATCAAATTTAATCTTTATATTTATTTAACATCACGCATCAAGATAACTTGAATAAAATCAATCATAATAACCTGTCATTTATGAATTGTTAAAACATGATTCTCTCGCGCTGACAGTTTTGGATTTCTATTTTTTTATTGCCTGTATGTTACCTGACCAATCACAGTGATTTGATTTTATCAAGGCTTAATTCGCGATTTCGCTCGTAGATGGCGCACCGCGGGCCTAGGGTAACATTCCGGCGAGTGTTCCATCTAGGGCGCGTGGCCGTTGGCCGTGGCCCCCTTCCATCACGACGATCGTGGGCGAAAAACGGCCACCGGTTCGGAGACTTCGGAGTTTCGGAGCGGAGCATCATCGGAGCTCGCAGCAGTGAGCAAAATGGCGTTGTTGTGGACGGTGATGTCGTTCGCGTTTTCGTTGCTACTGACACCTTTCCTCATGCTGCTGCTGGCGATCATATTCCTCGCGTCAATCGGCAAGTCCCTCGGTGTCCGTAGGCTGTACATCAAGCTGTTGTTGGCCCTCTTCGAGGTAAGTCCCGTTTCTTCTTCCGTTTCGTATGTCAACGAGATCAACCGGTATGCTCCCGGATGGTCATTTCCTGCGTGCCAATGCGGATCGCGTACCGCACGACGTCGCGGTCGCGCGGTTTCCTTCGATCGGCGTGGCGACGCGACGCGACGCGAGGAACCGTTTCCCGTGCACATTTGCGGTTGTTTTTCTTTCGTGGCACGTGCGTCGGAGGAATGTCAATTGGGTAACCTTACACGTCGTTGCGTAGTCGCAAGGCGCTAGCAATTTTGCGAGCAATGAGAAAGAAGAATCAATTAGTTTCCTTGTTTATTCGATATTCGGATTCCGGAAAACGGAACTGACCGCGGAGATTTCGCGGCGACGCGAGTCTCTCGCCTGGGTCCGGTGGGACGGATATGCAACGAGTTGGAAAGAGTTTTCTCTGTGGGTCGCGAGTTAATTAGCGCGCGAGATGACCGACCTTTCGCACTTTGTATACGCACCCGTCTTATCCCCGCGGTATCAAAGTACAGTTTCCGCGAAACGGTGAGAGAGAAGAGCGGTTTTTTTTATCAACGTTACGCAAGCTCGATTTATTTTTGGACGGAACAGATCGGTGCGGACAGGAAAGCCTCTATTTATCAAATGATTAACCGTCCCTCCGTCTATATATGTTTTATTTTTCCACCCTCGGAGTGTATACGTGGGTCTGTCACATTTGACGCTGTTTTTCCCTACTTTAAAGTATTTAAAAAAAAGCTGAAACAATTCACAAAACGTCTATATACATTGTAATTGACGATTTTATAGTCATTTTGATAAACATCGTTTATTTAATATTTTCTGACAGGCGTGCAGGTTTTACAGTTACGAGCAGATATCATTTTGGCTCGGACGCTGTAGACCCAGGTATACAGCCAGAGGGTTAATCTCTCCCTATTGTACACGTGCATTATGGGAGTAACAGTGATTCGGCATCTATTGCATCTAAACCGGCGAAGCAATCCTGTATAGATGTGTGTTATTTATGTATTTCACGTGCATTATCGTGTGCACATTCTTACGCGGAGAGGAAGTGTTCGAAACCGTATTTATCTGTGACACCTGTCGACGCGTAACACTTGCCGAAGAAAATACCGTTTATTTAGTTCTAATCAGCGCGGTGTAATTGCGAAACGAGATTCATAGATCTGGTGTACTGCAAAAAGCACTTTAGCTCGCGCGACAGCCAGGAGATTGTCCCTGATTTCTATTTTAAATTATTCCGCATCGGAATGCGGCGCCTCCGACGTCAGACGTGTATTAATTGTTTATGATTAAAACAGCTGTTTGCCGAGTTTTTATTGAGATAAAAAGATTATCAATTCTACTCTGAATTGATTAATGCCAATGTCAGTTTAGGCTTTCTTATTAAGGTTTATGATATCCAGAATCGAAGGATTTATTTTCCTAAAAACATTCGATACATTCATTAGAGATGCAAAGTGCGGCAATGTATAAAAAATGTATAAAAAATAATGCCGAAAATACAAGATGCGTGTTCGAAATTATTTAACTTTTTTAAACGACTAATTACTAAAATTACTTATACGAGAACGTGGTAAGTGAAATATTTAAGAAACGATTACCGGGCACTTTCTCCGAAAAAATATGCCGAATCTCCTGTGCTTCGCTCACTTTCTCCTAATTACACAGATAGATGCTGTCTTAATGAGATCTTCGTTTCAGTGTTAAAACACGTATTATATATAATGCCTATATATAAGTGCCTCAAAATTTAAAGACTTTTTGAAACTTTGAACTGTTTACCGCCTAGTCCACCGTTCAAGCCTACTTTATCTTATCATTTTTTTGTCATATGTCGCTTGAGACCGCATAGTTTCATATTATTCATGATGTATATCGTCAAAAACGCGCATTTAGTTGTGTATTAAATAGTTATGAGTCAAAGTCTCAAGTGTTTATTGCACAGCTTTACGAACATGAATTTTTCGGTTAGTTTGAAAAGCGTATTTTTTCTTTAAAAATTCGAAAAGTTTAGATTCAATTAAGCAGAGAGAACGTCTTAAAATCACGAGAGATAAGTTATTCACTTTGCATTATCATTAATATTAATATAAAAATTCAAGAAATGCTCATTCATTTGTACACGTCCATGTTTTATACTTATATCGACCTTTGCATCGCGTATCTTTAATATATTTGTCAATATTGTCTGATCAAGTTACAAGATAGATATCGCTATATGTCTTTTCTGTACTATTTGCTCATTCATAATAATATACTGCTTCACGTCCCTTTCATCATTTCCGTTCGCCGTATACATACAGTCTCTTATTAACTTGACTGATTTAACTCGGATTGATTATTTATTTTTTCTAAAATTGCTGGGCAGTCAAGAGGGAATCATTTTCTCTATTACATTAATTTCAATCATATCTTTATCTGTAATTTAATTAGTCTTTAATAAATTAATATGCAAGAATATGTTCGAGAAAACTGTGCAGATATTGATTATACGTAATAGGTATTCTGTTTTAACAAATTACTTTCTTTCTATTTATTGTGTCGTTTAAAAATCGTGGGTGATTCTAAATATGATTGAAGTCATAAATTAAAAAAATTTCCATGATCTTAGGCAAAGTATTGAAAGGTTCTAAGTGTAGTAAATAAAGATAAAAATATATATATTAATTGCAAGGTATAAAGGATGAAAGAATTAAGTGAACGGGCTATGATAAACAAGTAGCAGACAATACGCAAAAAAAGCATAAACGCAAAAGAATATCGATGCATTTACATTGACGCGAGTTCTCATAATTAGCAAACTGCGTAGGCGAGCAATATTTGTGTTTTATCATAGATACGCATCGGAATCGTATGATGACCAAATTGCCTTTGATGAAATATTAATATAAATGAATACATACCATTACCATGCTTTATTTTATTATATCATTATTATCATGACTTGTAAAAGTTTGATTATTTATTATGAAAACATGTACGTATACATGTATCGTATTTCCGGCGTGACTTTGCAGCAACCTTCCGGTATTCGTTACCAATCTCTCGTGCAGCGTGCCTCAAAATAACTACCTAAAATCAGAAGTAAGATACCAAACGATTCTACTAAAATAACTACTAAAATCAGAAATAACTTGTTGATTTGTTGATTAAATAGTTTTTGAATGTATTGCCAGAAGAATATGAAAGGCTGGAAGGATCTGCGTACATTTCAGTGTTTGTATTTCAGATGCTCTAATGCAAATGATTGAATTTTCAAGTTCTCGTAGAATCTGAGATATTGGTAATAAAACTGTTTATGTGCGCACTATTTATAGTCCTGATTTCTGGCTATATTTTGCTAATATTTAAAAGATATGTTGTTAACATAAATATGTTTTTTTTAGTAATAAAAGAAAAATAGAATTATATTAGGAAGATTTAAAAATTTTTAAATACATTTTTAAATATTAAATATATTTTTTTAATCACTCGAAATTGATCATTGAGTTAAATTTATAGCAGATACTTTCATTTTTAATGAAGTTTTATATGGTATATGCATGCTATTCTTTTACTATTGATTTTTATAATTCAAGGTATTGATTTGTTGTTAACTGGGATTTTTTTTAACTTGTTTTGCACTACGTAGAGTGTATAAATAGTCTAATAAATGTTAGTCATAAATTGAAATAAGATTTAAATTTTTTATTCATAGTCATACTTAATCATCTTTATTTGGTTTGCAAAAAGTTTGCAATATAATCATATTGCGAACATCATAGACAAGAAATGCAAAACGCGAATATTTGTGCAAGTAAGGAAAATTGCATGAGGTTGTGTCGTAAATTTATATAAAATATATTCTAATTTTTAACTTTTCTAAGAATTCTTAAATATCTAATTGTGTAATATTTAATTTCAGTAAACGTTGCGTATACGAATAGTCATTTGTATAACTACTAATGTCAAAATTGTCATTATGATTAACATATCTAATTAATTTTTGCAAAATTATGCATCTTTGAATACTGGATTAAATAACGCAACTTGTTTTCATTAAAAATTAGTAAATTTTTTAGTTTTTCTAAATTATCGCTAATATAAAACTGTATAATTTTAATAAGCATAAAAAGTATACAAAAAATAGGCGAATGATGTATCGATGAACCAACGAGGTGAAAACGCTCTTCACATACATCACGTTACAACTGTGTTTTCATGAGGAACTCACCGAGTCATCGACTATATTACCGCAAGGTCTATTGGAAGTGTTTTGAATGCTATAAGAAAACGCGACATATATCCCGCAAACGTAACGATTCTACTCCGGTTTATTAATTTAACAATATGATTACCCTCTGCTGTAAAAATTGATGCAGAGTTCGGAATAAAGTTTGCATTTCTACAAAGCACGCCGCGAGGTTCAATAAAAAGGTCGATTCTTATTATCGGTCAAGTTACGGTCCGGTCACGATCCGATCAAAAATCGTTGCCATTAAATTCAATGCAAACTCGAGAAAGCATTAAATTTAATGGCAATGATTTTTGATCGGATCGTGACCGGATCGTGACTTGACCGATAATGAGAATCGACCTTAAAAGTGGAGGGAACTGAATGTTTTTTTAATATCTTTTGATATAAAACTTGAGAATCTATCGTTACCTTGGACTTGAACCTCGGATTGACTACTTGTACCGTGAATCGCCAGAGGCAAAGAAAACGCAAAGTTACATGTGTAAATAATTTATGTTCACGCTAATGATTTTTTGTCAGTTGCTCCGTCTTGGTTCGATAATGCCGGTTTGTCAAGTGTATATAATAAATGTTATCAACGTGATAACATCTACTATATCCGTGATATATCATCTAGATACGTGCACGGAATACACACATTGTCACAACTATCAGTAAAAGAACACGTCAAGTCGTAATATTCAAAACTAGATTCTGAACAATCAACTTACGTATCTCTTCTGCATTGTAAAATATTCTAGTATTTCTAAATAAT